CTGATACGAAGGATTTTAACAAGAATTGATCATTTTTATTGAACAAGAGACTTTAACCACATATATTTATGGAAATATAAATATCTAAATAAATGTAATCACAGCTATCCATCGATGTAAAATTAAATTTTACTTTTGACCATATGGATTTAAACAAATAGTGAAAAAAACGAAAATAAAATGTTGAATTTCACTCAGTATTATTTTATAGATTAATATTAATTATTATTAATATTTTTGAAAATATTGACGTTCTAGCATATTTAATAATAATATTTTCACTGAATTAGCGTGATATTACAAAATGAGAAAAAGTACAATAAAAAGTTTGTTAATGAATAGCTATATAAATTTGATTAACCGAAAACAGATAAGAAAAAGAAAATAATTGAACTTAGATTCTCTACATTTTGTATAAATATATCTATTTAATATTATATTTTCTCAATTGACAAATTTTCTTCCAAGTCTATTATTTGTCTTTTCATCGTCGCCATTGTCCTCGTTGTCGATAGTGCCACCCGCTGCATATCTTTTCGGTCTGTAAACCGTAGGAGGTGTTTCCCAGGTTCGCCTTATCTTCTGACCATCGGGTAATAAATTTATGCCGCGCGAGATACTAAATCACCGCCAAGGATCAGTTCTAAACGATCACGGACGCGCTCAAACATATTACTTAAGCATTACTTTGATTAGAATTTGTGTGACTCATTGGCTATTATCTACACAAATCTTTATCGCTTATATTCAGTAGTTCATTTCTATTATACTGATAAACACACACGTGTATCTCCGTGGAGAAATTCCTGGAAAAATTTTTTTTCAAATTGTGTAAATAAATCCTACGAGAAAGCTTTATGTCTTTTTCACATGGATAGTCGGTCTGATAAAATCGACATAATTCTAATAGTTCTGTTTATCGTTCGCACTTATGCTTATTTTCAGCTTAGACTTTTCCAATACCAAATAAACTGACTATCAATTTTTTGTCTAACTATTTGAATCTTATCTTACATTTACAATTGTCTCTATAGCATTTCAGTATTGCATAGTGATTGTTATGAACTTTAAAAGCTTGATAAATTAAATACAAGACCACTTCTTAATATTGAATAAATATTGAATTCATAAACGTGAATGAATTTGGTCTGTAAAAAAAATTTAATACGGCAAGTGGATTTTTTAAACACAATTACACTTTATAATATATGTTAAAAATTTTTACAAAAACTTCAACAAGTTTATTCTCAATGTAAATTAACCAACAAAATAATTTCCTAAATAATCTCTATTTTATATATAAATTAAATACTTGTAAAAAGTATTAACAATTAGCGTTTATACGTTCTATTTCCAAAAAGCCCAATAAAAGGAAACGAAGAAGAGGAAAAAAAGATAGTAAGTGCGAATAAGAGAAAACATTAGAGAAGAGGTGTTTTTGCAAAACTATCCGAGAACTTTTTGTCGAGTGCGAGCACACAAGAACGATCTTATCGTCGACAATAAACTTAGACGTGAATTGGTAAAATAACACGCATAGCGATAGTATCACTGACGAAGCTGCGAGAACGAATGCTTTATGGTTGCATACAATGTGTGCGTGGCCTCTTTTGAATTTATCGAGAAATTAAATTAGGAATTATGCTAATCAAGTTGCGGACCAGTTTGATGCCTTACGTACTCTGTTTCTTTTTCCGTCTCCCTCTCCCTCTCACACTATCACTTTCTGTATATCTGGTGTCCGAAGTCACCTATTCATGCATTTCTTTTATTCGTTGTCTATTACACTGTTGGTAACGAGTTGACTATTTGGTTTAGCAACTTTTTAATTTGTTTATATTTGTTTAATGGTTGATAATTATCAGATGGTTTTATAGGATATTCAAGCCGTTGTAATTTAGGTTTGAATTTGATATTTAGTTGTTTTTTTTAAACTTTATTACAATTTCTAATAAATACATTAATTAATCGTTTCCTAAAAAAAAAAGAAAAATTTAATAAATTCTTTTTCATATTACAAATTATTCTTTCATATTTACAAATTATAATAGTTCTCTTTTAATTAAATAAAATTTTAATTTAGTCAATTATTTATTTTCATTTTTATTTGAATGTATATATTTATAATTGTTATTTCGTTATAATCAAGAGTATAAGTTAAAATGGAAAAATTAAGTTATTCATGGAATTTTAATTAATTTATATTTTTTGATGAAGTAAGTGACTTTTTCTTCCTTAATTAAAAAAATTAAGCATCTAAGTCTTATATTAGTGAAAGATAATTTGTGCGTTAATTTAAAGATAGATTTTATTTTCTATTAATGTTAAATAAAGTAAATTAATAACAGTAATTCCTAATACAAAATTTGACATCATTGACTAATATAGTTAGTGTATTACATACAACCCAAATTTGTTTAATTCATATGAACTTTAGAAAATGATTGCTACAGTTTTTGTCAAACAAATTAAATTCAACACGTTGTTAAACTTGGTAGGTAAAATGTTTATGTAAAATCAAGATGTTAACGTAGAGTTAAATATTACAGTCTATTTAAAATATAATAAAAATTATGATTATTTCATATTTTCGATATACCGACATATCATTAAAAGTTCAAACTATATATCTCTTCATCTTATTTTATAGATAATATTCATTAATTTGTAAAGATTTATGAACTTGGTAAATTAAATCTGTAAGCGCGTGATTGTGTAACATCACGTCTTGCAAAAATAACTTTACAGACAGATGCCTCCGTGAAGGAGTTTAAAACAAGGGTCACTATCTTCGTATGCATATCTTTTTCGTTTTATTCGCTGCTAACCGAATGCGATTTATGAGCGGCCATAGCGAGAGTAAATGTTTCCTACCTGTGAAAAATGTTTTTACTATATTGTGCTGCTTGAAACCGTTTTGTTTACACAGACTCATTATATGTATATATATACAAAGAGAGCGAGAGAGAGAGAGAGAGAGAGAGAGAGAGAGAGAGAGAGAGAACAATTTACTTCCAAAGTTTAGAATACAATTTATTTTTTTCTTTTGTTGGTAATTTTTGAGGAATAATTTTAAACTTTACAGGTATCCTGTATAATTTTAATGGAATATATTCAAATTCTGAAATATTAATAAGTACGGTATAACGATTAATGAGAGAATTATTTATCTTGTATATAATTTTTGAAAAGATGAACCAGTTGGAGATTAAATTATAAATTTGAAATGAGTATTTTTGAAGTTCCCGGAGATACAAGCCAACGACAGGCATTTTTATAACGCTTTTGCAGTCAAGCTTCGGAAATGCTTTTCCTATTATAATAGACATTCTTAGCAAGATTATATTATCTTTTTATTCAATTTTAGAAATCGACTTTGAGAGGAACCGATTAATTTACAGAAAACAGGCCAATGCACAAACGTACGAGGTCTTCCTTATCGAAAGTTGAATGATTCAGTGGCTTTTTACAGAAACAACTATTTATGCATACCGATAAAGATGTATCAATGTTTTTCTCTTTATAATGAGCTCAGAAGTGAGTGAGTAACATGTACGAATGGCATACATGTTTTATTTTTGATCTATATTTCTATAAAAGAAATGCAAAATATTTGTTTTTAATAATTAAATCACTTTTTCTTGTAGTCCCAGTTCATGTAAACACTTGTAAATTTTATAAAAAAACTTTTCAAAATTCTATGGAAATTTTTTTCCTTTTTTATTAATATATTAATAAAAATGTATTAATTATAATAATTATATAAATTATATAAATAATTATATAATAATTATATAAATATATAATAATCAATTATAAAAATATATTAATAAAAAACTCAAAGATATTGACTGTTAAATTATATTTCAAATTTTACAATTTAATTTTAAAAAAATACGTTGAAATATTTTTTAAGAGAAATTTGTTATTTATTTAAAAATTCACTCCATCAGTTGAACATAGGCTTTTCCATTGACTTTTATATAAGTAATTAATAATTAAAATATTTTAAAATTTGATGTACCAGTTATGCTATGGAATTGTTGATCTCATTCAATAGTTTATTGCCAAATTTCCCCTTGAAATATAATAATTAAAATGACTATCGCTAACTAATCTTTCTTTGGTGAATATCGAATGGCACTCGACCCCCATCGTGATGTCCCTCAAATTTCTCATCGTTCCTTCGACTACTTAATCTAATACATGGCAATTTGTCGCAAGTTTATAGCAATCCTAATTTGTCGAATAATATTCCATTTGGACAGCAGGCGATTATTATACTCGCAGTGAAACATCTTTTAATACGAGATTCAGTGATTTGCTGATTAGAAATACAAGTTTATAGGTGTCTCGTGAATGAATAAGAAAGGTAGAAAATGATGCGTCAGAGAATTATATGCACCTCAAAGGAAGATGGCGAAAAGGTTTGATGATGACGTAGGTCTATTAAATAGAGTTTATATTTACGAAGACCTAGGCGTTGTTGAACGATCTGTGCTGCTTTTTAATATTTTTTGACTGTCATTTATATATTCTGTCTTTTCTATGAAAGTTAAACTCACATAATAACTTGTTCAATTCGTCGACGTCATCATTATCTCCTTCTTCTCACCTCAGCTCCTTCATACTTGCGTTATTTTTCTGTGGTAAAGAAAAAGATGCTTTATAAGCATTTTTAGAGTAATCAATTTATCTTAACTTTTTAATACGAATTGGAATAAGATATAAAATGAAATCTATGAATTGAAAATAATTCAATTACTCTTATTTATATCACTCATAATGTATATAACATATTATAATTAATTGACAAGTGCAGTATCAATACTAAGTTAGTATTAATATAATAATTTAGTTATAAAATGAAATATTTAAAAAAGACATAGAATTTATTTTGTAATATTTATTTAATGTATGATATGTCTTATCTGATATAGCGTTTGGTAAATAATAGAAGGTAATGTTTAATTCTTGAACAAATGTTTCGATGTTTGTAGTGGTCAAAAGGGTGACAAGTGTCATAGCGGCGATCCCGGTGACTCGAGCTATGAAAGCGGTGATGAGACGAAACGTCAATCTGTCAGTCAACAGTCGCAGCATTCAACTTCTTGCGCTATCCAGCAACAGCAGCAACAACAGTCTTCATCACATCAACTGGTGGATCATCAACAACAACCGACCTCAAGCATGTACCATCTGCCCGTGCAAGTATCTGTATCTTCTAGCTCACACTCATACCACCAGGGCCTCGGACAATCTGGCCACCATATGCAACCTCAGCAGCAGCATCATCATGATACGAGCAATGAGAGCAGTGACGATAAGCGTAACCTCCATCATCAACTACAGCATCTGCAGGCAGCAGCTGCCGTTCACGGACTCGTTCCTCCAACAGCGTCACTGCCATCACAATCGAGCTGCTCTCAGCAGAAAAGTCAACTCGACTATATGCAGTACTATAGTTCGCAGGTCAGTACTTAGTTTTTCATTCATCTAGCTATTCGCGGTGTATTTTTGTTAAAATGAAATTGAACTTGGTATATTGACAATGACGCAATTAGAGTTATGAATAAGAAAAAGTGAATCGATATTGAATTAAAAAATATATTTAGATTATAAAATTATGTTCATTTGCAATACGTTTTCTTCGAGCATATTTTTATTTTTTAAGCACTGATATAATTTAGTAGAAATAAAAATAATTATAGCTGGAAATATTCGTAACTTCGGAACGATTCATCTTAGATATTTGCTAATGAAACGGATAAAATAGAAGCGAGACTATTTTTTGCCGACAGGATTACCTCATAGGCTCGTCGAGCTCGACTGAACTGCAAAAGCCTCTTCCACATACTACAACATCCATGCAGATGGGGGCAATCACCTCATCTATGAGCGGCCTCAGCCCGATGGGCCCCTCTACAATAATGCCATCAACGATGCAAGGAGTGAATCATACAGTGAATAGCATGTCGATGAATAGTATGGGTATGGCTGCGTACCAGGGTATGGGCACCATGAGTATGTCGAACTCCCACGCGGGCTACCATAGCGCCAGTCTTGTTCTCGGAGAGTATCACTCCTTGTGACCTAGGGTACGACCGAGACGCAAGCAAGGAACTTCAACTCAACAGTTACAGCATCATCACTACTATCAGTACCACAACCAACAACAATATCATCATTACCATCATCATCATCAGCAGCAGCAGCAGCAGCAGCAACCGCAGCTACATGTATACAGTAGTAATCATCATCATAACCACAATTACAACCAGCAGCAAGAATGCCAACGCGAACATCGTCATCATTCTCATCACTATCATCATCAACATTATTACAATAATCATCATCATAACCATGAGAAGAGGTGGGAGCACCAGCAGCAACACCAACCGATGTCAACGCAACAACAGCATAATTCCAACAAGCCGGTGACTATTGTTCAAGCACGAATTTACTGTCTCACGGAGTAATGGACTTTAACTTAAATATATATCTAGTATCCGTTTGGATGTTCTGTTTTCACAATAACGCAATAAGAATTATTTTTATTTCAATTCAAGATTGTATTATTATTATGTATAAACTTTTTACAAATTATTATTTTTATTCAGTGAATTTCCTTTGTATTGAAATTCGAGTATAATAAAAAAGTATATTTGTTAAACATTTTAGCAAACTGTACTTTCTCAAATTTTATTTTTTGATTTTTTATTCTTTAGATTACAACTAATTCTCTGATTATTACTTGTTATTTTAATAAACTTATAAACAAGATAATATATGAGTTCTGTTTAACTTTAATTATAATTATGAGTTATGATAGTATTTATTTTTTATATAATACAAAATGCTTACGGAACATTTATACTTCTATTTTAATAAAATTGCAAATTTATAGAAAATAAAGTTCAGCTGTGACACTGAAATACTCATTATATAAATAATAGTGATTTTATATTTCAATACAAATTTTTATTAAATGTAAAGATGTCTATAATATTGCACATTTACTATTATTTCAAAAATAGATTCAGTTTTAATGTAGTCGTATAATATTAAATACCAATAAAAGATAGACTGATCCATATATCACACTCATAATTATGGTATAATAGAAGAACAATCTAAGTAAAAACATTTCAAGACAAATTAAAGTTAAATATGCGTTGTCGCAAGAGCTTAAAGTTATTATTCGTCCTACTTGTACATGTATGTAGATAAAAAAGGTATGAATGATCGAGGTTTAAAGTTTTCCAATTTATAAATTGTAAGATAAAATTTTTACATGATTCAGTCAATACGTTATTTTTCAAAAAGTACGAAAAATCCTAGTTTCGAGATGAATAGCTTTTACAACATTTATTAAAAATTTCCAAATTATATTTAATTTATTTAGTATTTTTATTATAAATGTACTTTACTTTGTAATTATCTTTTTTAAGAGAACTTTTGAAAGTATTTAAATCTTATAAATTTAATAAAAATAACATTTGGTGTACAAATATTTTACTCTAATTTATTAAATAAGCACAATTACAAGTATTATTTCAAAGCCATATAAATTATAAATTATATTATATATATTGCGATAATTAAACAATAAAAACGTTATATCCATAAATTTATTTAGAATTGTATAATGTATAGAGCTTAAATTTTGATTCTTTCAAACGGTCGAATTTCTCGTTATTACACATCAGCAAATTTCGATAAAAAATTTATGAACTTAAATATTCTGTAACAAATCTATTAAAATAATGTTAAAGTTGCCTTACTATGTCTATCAGCTCAGTATAAAAGTGACATTTTAGAATAAGAGTATAAACAAAATAAAGAAAAAATTGAGAAGTGGTATTAAGTTGTTCGTTGTTTGTAAAAATAACAAAGTTAAGCAGCAATTTAAACCAACTACAAACAAAAAATGAACGTTAGGGCAAATTTTCAGATGATTTAACATTGCAAACAGATAATGTTAATTAGTTAGTAATTCTTTAAATTTTTGTTTTGTATAGAAAAATCAAGAAATTCATTGTTCAAATGATGTTGCGTGCACAACGAGGCCATGAAGTGAAATCAACAAAAGATTAATTATGCTTTGGTAGACAAAATGAACATCACTATGTGGGTTAAATATCCACATATTCCACCCTCCTCTGACAATATTATTCATATGTTCATTAACAATTTCATTACGTATAGATTGCCTTTCCTTCTTTTTGATTTCCTCGCGATCAATTAATAATAATTAATAATGTCTTTAGAAAACCTGAATAGAGATTTTTGTTTGATAAATGCATTTTTTAGTACAACATTTTTATTTTAATAAATAATTAATCAAACACTATGTAAAAAGAAATATATATGTTCGTATTTAATGCATGAAAATTTGAGGTCTTAATATGTTTGGAAAACAAAAACAAAATATGAATATGTAACTATAATTCATATTTTAAAATTCGATAAGTAGAATGTTTTTTCTAATCTTTACAATTGTATATAAGTTTTAAATAATCAATAATATATCTTTGCATTTAAAATTAATGAAATAGTTTCATTATATTATTTTAAAAACTTATATTACAATATAATAAAATGGTGTTATTACAATAATTGTGTGTATTATTAAATAATTAATTTTTTTTGTACGTTTTAATAACAAATTTTTTTAATAGTATTTTCAAAATTGACCAGAAATTTTTTATTAAATATTAAATTTTCATTTTTATTTTTAAAAAATATACATGCCCATTATAAATCTTATATAAAAGTTAAATACATAGAATTTATTTCATTATTTAAAATTCATTATTTGATTCAATAAAAACTCGTACACGGAAGAGTGTTATCAAATAAATTAAAAAATTAATTTAATAAAAGAATTCATATGCTTCGTTTACTAAGCAAATATTACATTTGAGCCTATGTGTATCTAGATGCTTATTTACTTTATTTGATTTTGATTACAATTTTTTTATATTATGAAATGCATTGATTTTTTTTTATTTAAACTTAAAATGTACATTTAAAAAATATAACAAAAATACGCATTATCACTTCATCAAAGGTAGAAAACTGTCTAGTTTAAAATATTCTTGTTTAGATATAGTTGTGTATTCAATTAACTGCTCTTACATGGAATTTTCTATATATTAAAAATAAATTAATTTAAAAATTAATATACTTATAGCAAATTTGAAAATGATAAAATAAAAGATGAAATAATATAATTCAATATTAATAATATTTTTTAATATTACACACAATAAAAAAATATAGAAAGATTGACTTATATTTAATTTTTGTTCGATGTAATGACTATTTTTTTAATCATCATTTGTAGGATCTGAAAATTTTAATATTCATGAAAACATTTATTGTTTATTGGTTATCCTGTATCACAGTGGCGTTAAAAAAAATTCTAAATTTTTTCGGATTTGAGTATAAGTTTCAACAATTTGAGGTTATTGAAACTAATATTGAAATAATAAAATTGAAACTACAGCTATACAATTATTTTCTTCGTACGACTATTTAAGTTCTAATTCAAAATTGATTTCCGGATTAGCATACAAAATTATTTTTAAACAACACAGAAGAACTTAAATTTGTCATTCTAGGCAACCATTAGTATCTAGAAACCAGAAAGAGAAATAATGTAAAGCTCATAATGTAAAAGTCTGATATATCGTTTAAATATTATTTTTTATATATAAATTTTAGATTTATATACTAATAAAATATTTCATTTTTAATTATTTTCTGCTTTAATTTAAAAATTACGTAAGAGCGAGGGAGTATTGAAATTAAAGCAACATTACCACGCAAAAATACAATATTTTCCATTTTACAAATTTATTGCGAAATGATTATTTAAAAAAATACAATCTTTCTATACAAAGATATTATTATATTATATGTAGATTTATATGCGACTCTTAAATAACTTACTAATAATCATAACTATACGGTTTTTTTATTGGTTACACAACAATGTACTATCGGATCGGAGATCAAAACTAAATGAACGTATGTACAAAAATGTATATCTACTCAAAGATTTTCATCGCTAATGAAGTATAATTTGAACAACGTAACATACACAACTACATTCCGATGATTTGGTCTACCTTGATTGAATTAACAAAGCTTTATAAACTGTGTAAACAATATCTATTGTAATTCTGTTACAGTGATTCATTTGTTTAAAAACATGTTTTTACATTTGTTATTTAATCGGGCAGTATAGTTGGATTTCAGATGTAGCTTTTTTGTCTTTATTATTGATATTGTGAATATATGTATTATAATTAATTTATATAAAAATTATTTATATTTATTTATGCTGTATTTTCATTCTTTTTATCATTTTTTTTAGATATGATTTAAATAAATATGATTAAAAATAAATTATGTTGTTTTGTTAATAAGTAGTAAAATCATGATATTTAATCAAATTTTATTAACACAGTAAGTTTTTTTACAAATCATGTTTTAAAGAAAACTATTACATGCGTATTAATATTAATTAATTTTGCTAAATAATAAAAACTGTCCTCATCTAATAAAGTAATCCACAATAAAAATAAACTTATTTTGTGCATATAATTTAAAGTTTGATATACGATGTTAAACACTGTATTAAGCAATAAGCAATAAGTTTTATACGAATATAAATTATTACTAAACGCAAAATGCTGCAGAATTAATGTATATATAAGTAGAGCTCAATCGAGCAAACTACTTTTGAAAGTGTATAATTTTTGTTAATGCATAAGTGGTCCTATAAGATACAAGCAAATCATGTTGAAAATAGTTTAAGTAAACAAATACTAGGAAGTAAAAGTTCTAGTATCATTAACTTTGCCTGTACATCGATAAATTAAAATAGAAAGAAAAAAATAACCAGAAAAAACAATAAGAAATAAACCGCATTTGTAATATATTTTTAACAATATTTGTAACATTTATTATACACTTATGTAATAATAAAATTAGAAATTACAAGTATTTCGATATAGTATAATAAAAAGAAAATAATAAAACTTGCACAAATCGATACATCAGTCGTGCGTAATGTGCATTAGACATGCATATGAAATACAATAAATATATATAAAATGCAACTGTAGATTACTATTATGTATTGTGTATGTATATATGTATGCGCGCGTGTGAATTGCGTACACACACACACACACACACAC